TTGGAGCTAGTGTTCAACTAGAGAGAATTTACTAAATATGTGGGATTGTCCTAGCCAAACTCTCATCCCAATGGACCAAAGGCCACTTCAACCCACAGAAAAGGGCTGCTCCTGAGCTTTTGAAGCAGAGAAGCATCCCTCACGTGTGGAAGGCACTTCCATGCCTCTTCCCAGCTGTCGAAGGTTTGCAGACAGCTCCCTTCGCATCCCACAAGAGACAGGAGGATGAGTCATAGCACTGGCTCAGATTAAGGGAGTATTATTGCGTTCGCAGAAATGGATCTATTTTATTACCCGTTTCTTGACACCTTACAAAGAGCTCTGCTTTCCCCCACAAGACAGGCAATTTCCTTAAAAAGGCATCAATTTCATTTGTTAAGAAATGGCCAAAAAAGAGTTAAAAATTTGTGCATTCTGAAAAGCAGCCAGGCAGAAAAGATGTAGTGGAAACACTGGGGAAGGTGGTTTATATCCCTCAGACTCTAGATCAAATCTGTAAAATGATGCCATTTCTCAAAAAAATATACAGAGGAACTACAGGAGCCTTTCTCTTTCTCTTCTCTAAAAGTTTGCTACTTCTCATTTTTAGAGACATACGCTAGGATTTGGTCAGCATGAAAGAAACCATCTCAGATTTCACTGTTTCTATATATGTGATGGTAGCAGGGCACTATTTTAAAGACTTCCTTCTCTTCCACAGATTTTCCATACTGGGAAGACAGATAAGGTATGTTTTGCTCATGTTTCTCATTAAACACACACATGTGCCAGCAGTCATTTCCCTTTGTCTTGCTGTCCCATGACAACAGATTGCAAATCACAGGAAATTGGAATGAGGACTCTATTTAGTTTGGATGACTCTTCTCCATTGTTCAACTCCACATTCAATTTTTCATTGTCATTTCATTAAGATTTTCATTGTCACAATCAATTTACTCTTTCTCCTTTTGACAGAAATATGGCAACTGTTGTTGTAGGTATGTGTGCTGTTAAGTCAACTCCAACTGATGGTGACCCTAAGTGACAGAGTGGGCCCCATAGGCTGTAATCTTTTTTCTTTTCCTTTTTTTTCAGTGCCAGATATTTATTTCCTCCCCACACCACACATGGGGCAGCTCACACACAATAGACACAGGCATTGGACTCATGGGAGAGGGTAGCACCCCTGGCCTCTGAGGACCCATGGACAAGCTCCCCCTCTCATACCTCCCAGCCAATGAGAAGCCACCTTGGTGACATGTTTCATTCCAGCCACTGTAGAAAGTGGAGAAGTGATTGGCCTGGTCCCAGCCATTGCAGGGAAGGTGTAAATGGTAAAGGAAGGTATGGACTCAGCCATGAGAGGCAGCATATGACACCATCAGAAGCATGTGGGGGTGGCAGTTATTGGGCTTCTGGGCTGCCTGGTCTCTGGTTCAGCAGGAGGAGGGTAGGAGAGATGAATGAAGCTTATTGTTTGGCATTGATGATGTCCACAAATTCAGGTTTGAGGGATGCACCATCCACCTGGAAGCCATCCACATCAGGCTGGCTTGTCAGCTCCTTGTAGGTGGCCCATGTCATAGAACCTCCATAAATGATACGAGTACTTTGAGCCACCACCATCAAGACATTAGACCTGAGCCTTCCCCAGAGCTTTTCATGTACTTCCTGGGCCTGCTAAGCTGTTGCAGTCTTGCTGGTAGCAATGGCCCACACCGGCTCAAGCCAAGACGACCTTGCTCCAGTCTGTCATGTTATCTGCGATGACCTTGGTTTGTTCAGAAACAACCTTCTCAGTGATGCCAGCCTCCCTCTTGTCCAGTTTCTCTCCAATGCAGGCAATGACTCCAAGTCCCTCTGCCAGGGCATGGGCTACTTTTTGTCCAATCAGCTTATATGACTCTCCAAAGACATGCCTTCTTTCTGAGTGCCCCAGAACAACCCAAATGGCTCCACAGTCTTTGCTCATGCCAGGGCTGATGTCCTCAGTAAAGCCCCCAATAGTAGCAGTTCTGTGTGGACACAGCAATCTTGGCATCTAGCTTCTGCCCAGCAAAGTCGATGTAGGTGGTAGGAGGTGCACAGACAACCTCGGTGTCAGCCACAGGCTATATAATCTTTACAGGAAGGATCCCTCTTGATGGGGTGAGTTATAAGCTGGGCTGTTAACAAAAGGCAGGTGGTTCAAATCTACCAGATGTTCTTTTTTGGAAAAAGATGAACAATCTCTTTCTGTAAAGATTCCAAGCCTCAGAAACCTGATAGCGGAGCATGGAGGTCATTCTGGAGACTAAGGTGCACCTGATGCAGCCCAAGGTCTTTGCAGTTATTTGCTATGCATCAGAAAGCTGGATAATGACTAAGGATGAAAGGATTGATGCCTTTGAGCTTTGGTGCTGGAGAAGAGTATTGAACTGCTGAAAGAGCAAACAGCTTTGTCCTGGAAAAGGTGAAACCAAGTTGCTCCTTGAAGACAAAGATTTTGAAGCTCTGTTTCACATACATTAGGCATGTTGGAAAAGGACTAAATAGCCACTATCAAATCCACTGCCAAAGAGTTGATTCTGGCTCACAGGGACCTCTCTTGTGTTTCTGAGGCTGTAGATCTTTATAGCAGTAGACAGTCTGGTTTTTCCTTCTGTCAAGCAGTTGGTGGATTTGAACTACATGCTACACACTATGCCATAAATTGATAAGTGTTGCTTAGCAAACGACTTACCTCAGAGGCTTTTCAGAGGCACTTTAGCTCATGTCCTCCTCCACTGCAGCATCTTACCTCTGAGATGAAATGTAATAGGTACTCAGCAGAGTTCCAATGACTGGTGTGCATATGGATATCAATCATAAATGTGCTTTCCTGATACTTTGCTTACTCTTGATCAAGTAAATGGGCTTCTCTGTATTCCTCTGTTGCAAAGACCACTTGCACACTGGAGGAGGGGGGGACTAAGTGCCAAGAAAGAGAATATGAACAGAGAAAGTTTTCTGTTGTTGAATGCTGACTTTTAGAGGAAGGTGGATGGCCTTTGAAGCCAATTTGCTCTGTTCTATGAAGTTATTATTGGGTTTTCTTAAGTCTTCCAAAGCTATAGGGTCAATTTTTTTTTCAATTATCCCAGTTATTTGTTCTTTAAAGTACGAATTCTTACACAAATTTAGCCATTCCTATTTTCATTTAAAAATGTGATTCCTCCCTCTAAAAGGGGTCAACTGGATCTAAGAACTAATGTTCCTTCCGTAATAATGGTTGAAATTTTTCAAACTTCAAATGTGTGCCAGGTATTGGGTAATAGTTTCCAAGCCCAGGATTTCACTTACTCCATCCACCACCCTTTGAAGGAGATGCCAACACGTGAGGAAACTGAGCGAGCTTAAACCCTTGCCCAAACTCACAACCCATGAGGAGTGAGGCTCAGGACCAACCCATCCAACTTTCTCACTAAAGTTCATGAGTTTGGCCACACAGAAAACTTTCTAAGGACACGAAGTGGAGCTGCGTTTGCACTCGGTGAAGCCCAGACCCACTTGAGACACGATATCCAATATCTCTGATATCTAGCAGTTCAGGGCCAGGCTGGCCTGTGCTGACTGCATCCAGCCCCAGCCGGCTCCCATGCGGGTTGTGAAACCCCCGCAGTACAGTTACCTACTCTCTCTGGAGGTTGGGTTTCCACTTCTGTCAATGGAGACATTAGCACTGGTCGCGAACTCTGTGAAGCTACCAGTATCAACCGTTTTTTACTTAGAGACAGCATTTCGAGATAGCATTTTCAAGCGGCTCAACCAGTTCTTCACTGGGTCGTTTTCGATTAAAGATGTGCACGCAGCACACAACAAATAGTGCTTTTTAGAATGCTTTCTCTTCCTCATTTCCTTTTTTGCTCGGGTCAATAAAATTAGTTTGCATTCTCAGAGCGCACTTTGAATGCAGGGAAACCAGCCGGAGATTATGTAAATGTTGGAGCCCATAACTCCCGAGACAATAAAACTGCGTGGATAATCAAGAATTAGCAACAAAGGGTCTCTTGAGCCCCCCGTTGCTCTGTTCATTTCTCTCCTAGTTTTAGTCTGTTAATAAATTGTTTTCTAAAAAAATTTAGGAAATTGAGGGGAGTAGTGTCGGCAGGGAAGTTTAGCACTTTGTTTCATATCATCAAACAAAGAAAAGAGGTGGGGGGAGATCAATTCTTTTCTTCGAGTTGGCTGCGCGCAAGTGGCACGGTTCCTTGCTTGGCAGGGCGGGTCTAGCCTCTGAGACTTGGACGCACCCAGGCCCCAGAACCAGCTCAACCCGCCGCTTTCCCCGCCTGCCCCGCCCACGCGGCACGAATAATAACAGCCAGAGTTAGCATTATCTGCTGTGTATGGCTTATTTCCCTGCTAGGTGCCAGGCTGTGCGCTTAGACCCTCACAAGTATCATCATATTTACTCCCCACTAGGTCCTACGTGGCTAGAACTATGATTAGCTCCGTTTTCCAGAGGAAACAGGCACAGAGAGGTTGAGTCACTCAGCTAGGCAGTCGAATTCAAACGCAGGCCGTTCCAGAATTCCGGGTCGGAACCGCTATGAGGAGGAGAAGTGCTTTTTCTCCAAGGATCTCCCCAACTTGACCAGACCCAAGGGCAAGGGCCCGCGCATCCCCGCGCGCGCAGTGAGTCCCGGGCGCGCGGAGGGAGGAGCGGCACCGCCCCCCGGGGTATTTAACCCCAGTCGGAACCCGCCG